TTAGATAAACTTTGTTTCGTTAAAACATGTTGTTGGTTGACAGCATGTTTACAAGGTGGAGGACCACCGTGTTCGGAGACAGTACCCCTGGCCTTACTACAAGTAGTCCAACCATCCTTGCCTGGACCACGGTTGGCAGAGCCCCGGTCTTGCGACCATTTGAACCGTATGGGTGCTAGCCCTGGTTCTGACCCTCATCCCTCATTAGGGAGTTGTTTGAGTCGTCTTGTTTTTTTTTGTTTTGTTATTGTACTGCCAGTGTCGTGTATTCTTCGCTCGTTCTTGGATGTCTTCTTGAGTCATCTTGACACTCAGTCCTTTGAAACTTTGTAGCGTTTGTTCTGAATTGTTATTCTTTCTTTCTTTTTACACTTTTTGCTTTATTTCTCTAACTTCTGCCCATGGCATCCTTCTCTCACTCTCAGTCTAAGCTCGTCAGCTGACAACAGTAGCTGTTACCATGGTTACTGTCACCACGATGACACTGACGTGAGAAGGTGCTCTCTGTAGTCTGTAGACGAGGTTGGTGATGTCCCGACGCGACCATGGCCATGAGTAGGCCTTCACCACGTCGGAGCACCCAGGCTGCGCATTGGCAGTCCTTTACTACTAGGCTAGTACTACTACTACTACCACAACGTGTAGTACAACTGTTACGGTTATACATGTAGATAGTGAGGCCCTAACTACCTAGCCTAAGTTTCCGAACACGGTGGTCCTCCGACTTGTAACATGCTGTCAACCAACAACAATTTACATGATTTTTACTGTATATTCTATAGGGTTTACAGATCATGAGTGGTATTATGACACATGGAAGACGATCAGCTTGCCAGATCAGAATCAATGAAAGACTTACATGTACATGATTGTACATAATAATACAGACTTGTCAGTTTGAGCACTCTGGCAAGGTACGTTCGGGCCTGATTGGAAATTTTTATTTTCATTGCTATCAGGTTCGGCCTCATTTTCTCTGTGCTGCGCTGATGAGTTCAAAAAGAACGAAACAGCATGCTGTCCGCAGATTGAGTAATAATACAGACATGTACATGTATTTCGAAGTAGTTTCCAGTACTAAAACTTTTTAAAGTTTTAGTACTGGAAAAGTCTTACTACATCCATGTACAATAGTCATGTACATGACTGTACAGCACTAGTATCTCCTTTACTCACGTCATCCACGCCATATACGGTCAGGACTTAGCACAGACGAGAGCAATGCATGTACAGTATGTGGTAAGTGTAGGAGGATTTACGCAGTTGTCACCCCCACCGCGTACCGCGGCTCGTTCCACTTGCGTGTGTGTGTGTGTGTGTGTGTGTGTGTGTGTGTGTCTATGCGCACGCATGCGTATGCGCCTGTGACTTTGTTTGGCGGTTGGTTGTCAATGGCAAATATCGACGATCTCGTCACGCCTAACAACAGTGGTATGACATCGCCCGTAGTGAAGTAGTTATCGCTATCACTATCACTACTAGTGTCAGTTTCGCAGCTCGATTTCATGGGATACGGGCGTCAATCAGCACGTGGTGAATGGACTTGTAATAGCTACACCAGTGTGGTGGACAGGCTGCACTTGTCAGTGGCCTTTTTTCTTTTCTTTTTTAATTAAATTATTTATTTGCAGTGTGTGCGTTTTGCAATGCAGTATGCTTATGTATTAGTGTTTTAAAATTCAACCCCTGAGCATCCCACTGAAGTGTGTGCAGTGCTAGTGGGATGCACATGGGCTGTTGTTATGGCAATTGCCGTCAAGGAGTAACGGAGCTAGAGGCATGGGTCTTCTGTAAACATAAGGCGCTGCGGTGCAGGTGCGAATGTCGCCGAAATATGCCACAACCAGGGGAAATCCACCAATAAACAACATGATTGCAATGCTAGTGATTGCCATCAGATAAGAAGATGATAGAATTCCTGTACCCTCCTGAGACTCAGTATAATAATAATTATGTGTTGCATTGTCGCTTGGTTGATGAAGTGCTTCAGTGTCCAGCACACGGCCAGCAGACAGCAAACCATGCCTTGGTAAGCTCACATTGAAGCACACCTTCGTAGGACAAGAATACTGTTCACAGCATGATGATGATGATGTTTGTTTGGGTTTTGGTCATTTTCTCTATGAGGTCTTCTCCCATTGGTGGCCCCATGCTCACTGAGTTCCAGTGCACTTTGCGTTCCTTTTTATATTGAGTTCCAGTGCACTTTGTGTTCATTTCCCTCTCTTTTTTCATTCTAATTGAATTTTGATGTATTGCGTTTTTACTTGCCCATACAAGAGGCTGTTCATATGATGATGATGCCATTCTCTGCCAATACGGTAACTCCTCTGTTCCTTCTTTTAGCAGTTTTACCTACCGGTAAATATTGTCCTTTTTGTGTTCCGATTGATCTGCTGGGACTTGCATTGATGTTTGTAGAGTTGGGTGAACTACTGCGTACGTGAGTTTGCTTGATGATATGCACAGTCATTTTGGCCGTACAAGCGGCTATTTGCAGAATGACACATGCAATCCAGGCACTGGAATTCCGTCTTTAGTCTATTTAGCGGAGGCATGTGGAACACTGGTACATGTAGCACTCAATGCTGTTTGTCAGTTTAGAAACCATCCTGCGAGTCAGCAACAAACAACAACACAACAACATTCACGATAATGTAAGATATCCCCTTGTTTACAGAAGGTCCACTGGCGACTGTTCACTCATGCACCTGCTGTAGTTGCATGACCAATGTATTCCAGGCTGGCCACGCTACCGCTGCTCTGGGAGGACTCAGGCATTATGGAGATCGGTCTCCACAAGCACACACACTCTTATCTGACTACGGTGGAACTCACTTTAAATAGTCCGTACTCTAATAAGACATACTCTTGCTTAGTTCGGACATTGTCCGGAGCACAATAAATACAATACAGGTGTATTGGTCCGTACTGGACTACAATGTACACAATGTATATGTACGTTGGGATAAGAAGTGCCTCGAATACTGAGTACACTTTCCTATTGTCCATGGGTGTACGTTCTATCAGGATTCTACTAGTCTGTAGGCTCTAGTCTGAGGTACTGTCTGTGATCATGGTGATTGATATGTAAATAGAGAGTCTGGAGAGTGGTAGCCAATAATTTTCTCGATCTCGTGAAAATGGCCAATCAACACCGGTGTTGTTTATTGAGCAGTGGTGAAATGCCTCATCTATGCCAAGATCACATATTTCCTTGACACCGTGCAGTCATCTTTCTGATGTGTTCTTTCTGGAAGAGTGCACGTAGCATTTTCACACTGTGGCAATAGCACTGGCAGTAGTCCCTTACACCATGTACTATTGATGTACGATGCTATTATAATAAGGCCTACACTACAGGCTAAAATCAATAACAAACTACAAACTACAGTAGTTACTAAGTACTTGCACACTCTTGAAAAGTAAAACTGTACCAGGACAGACACATCAGGTGACGGTCTCAAGGGATTGCGAATGACGACTTGTTGACAAAGCAAGGAAATCGCAAATGCTCCAGGATTAGTACACAAGGGCATCCTCTCGAACAATTGCTTAGGGAAACAGTTCCTGTACTGCCCTTCTCCTGTTCTATCAATATCAGTCTGCAGGTTTCGTGTGGCTGCACCAGAGATATCGACGGACAGGGTAATACTGACTTTGTTTGGATTGGAGGGTTTTGACCACAGAAATCGACCGTGGGCGTGACTGTACCTTGCAGTGCTGAAGATACAGTAGTTACACCTGTAGGTCAACTGGCTACTGAGTCTGCGTGGGTGTGTGATTTAGCCTTTTAGGACGACCAGAGACTGAGTTTACTGATAACATGTCTGCTGTGCGTTACATGACCACAGATCCCCATCTAGCCAATCACCAGTGGACTGTGTTAGTTTACCAGTAGTACTCAGCTTGGAAGAGATTCGCCTTTCTTGAGTTTTTTTGTGCTTTTCCGACAAAGCGGTCGCACATGAATCCGGGTGGTGCATGTGCAATGTAGATCTACATCATGTGACATGTATGATGTACTACCAACACTACACGGACTGCCGGGACTGGTACATGACTGCATGTACAGTGTGTACTTCACAGTGTAACGTGTTACTCGTGCAGACTGACAAGTCGTTTTGTGCGTGAACGTCCGCAGTTTCGTATGCGCTGCTTGTGAGTTGTGGTGATCAAGGCGATGACCAAAAAAAGAGTTACAGGTATGAATGATCGTGTAACAGGCCAGCCGGCCGGATCGTCTGGCCTGCGTGGTTTCGAAACCGCAGCACACATTGCTACACAAGAATGCGTTGCGTTTTACTGTGAAAGCGCAGTCTGTCCAAGACGTCCCGTGCCATGCATGAAACTACATTGTAACTATAACTGTTACTTTGAAAAGTGTATCGATATCACTGGAGCACTAGCTAGGTTACGCACTGTCCTGTAGTCTGTAGACTAGACGTGGATAGTTGACGTCTTTTCTCTTGCTCCCCGCCTAACGCTTAGATCTAGCATTGATTCACTGACAGTCGCTGCAAGTCATGCAAGATATCTCCGGGTTCAGCAGTACAGAACAGGCAGTACTGCATGGAACTGGCATGATTGCGTCTCATCCGTCTTGACTACGCACACTCATATTCTGTAGACTACTCTAAGTCTCTATGCTCCGCATCTACTATGTCTGTGATCTAGCTGACTGCCCGTTGACTCTTGTTGGTCTATTACTAGAGCGATGACAGTTTCGGAGCACGGACTGACATTGTGTTCGGTCAGCCTCAGACCAACCTTCCCACATCATCTTGAATGGCAGAGATGGGCGAAGTGACAGCCTGTCTGACACGCACACATGCCGTACATAGTCGCGCTAGTCCCATTCGCCTCATGACTAAGTCACTTGGTCAGTTTCGCCGACTGCCAACATGAATCACGCATCTTCACAACACAATGGCACGCTCTCGCACCGAACGCCAACCTCCTTTTCTTTAGGTATGCTCTCTCCAGGTGATTCCTTCAGGCACCAGCTGGCCGTGCGTGCGTGAAACGAGACCCCAAGCCGCGAATACAAAACTCCCTCGGCCCTCGATCTGTGTGTGGCTGCAACAAAGACTGAAAGGTCGGCTGTTGCCTGTGTAGATTTTCTTCCACACTACCACAGTTGGCAAGCAGAAGTGAGTGCAAAGGAGCAGATGCGTATCGGAAGCTCCAGGTGATAAGGCAAAACTACTGCGTGCCTGATTAGATGTAACACGTTTGCAGCACTGGTGTTGTTTCCTTCGAACACTTTTCACCGTTTACAGGTGAGAACTAGCAGAAGCCAGGCCAGTTTGCACCCGTGACCAGACCTCGCGGTTTCGAGTACACGCATCGACCGTGTACTCCCGAGCTGACCGCGGGAGCAGCTCATGCTCACCCAGCTAGATTATCGCCGGTTTGTGCGCTGTCCGACTGGTCTCCGGATGAAATTATCATCCTGGGCAGTCTCTCACACCGGACTGTAGTGTAGTAATTGCTCGGCCTGTGGACTCCCTGGAATCAGGCGCTTCAGGCGTTAGTTGGAGGTGAGAGTTTTGCTGGAAGTAGCTTGCTGGATCTGTGCTGTAGGAGCTGTCTGCACGGGTCGTTTGGGAGCCAGGTCGGCAGCAGTTGTGCCTGTAGTACCGGACGATGGAGAGTCCTCCGTCACGCTGAACCCACCGGTAAGCCGAGCGGAACGGCCAAGTAGCAGTTGTTACGGAGTCTAGTGTGACTGTGAGTGAAGGAGCCGCTCTGGAACTGTGCTGAGTTACGATGGATGTGTGTTGGAGGATCTTGCTGGCGACGCTTGTGGCTGTTTTCTGCAGCTATGTTTGCCGAGGTAAGGCAGGCACACGATCATTGTGTGTATTTCCGCGCCGCATCGAACGGTATGCATTATTGTCATACCGATACGATTACTCGGATTAGTAGTAACGTGTCGTGAGTTGTGATTTAGTGTCACTTCTCTGAATAAACGACTCCGCGCTTGGTGGAATATGTACACAATTACTTCGTTAGTATAGGAGTAAAAGAGAATAGCCAAAGTGTCACTGTGTGTCTCCACGTAACAATTACATGTACGTAGTTTAGAGAAAGGAAAGGAGTTGTTAGTACTGCGGCTGTAAGCATGGTAAGTGGTCGTCAATGTTGCGGTGTCTCTACATGCTCGATGCGACAAGCTTTTCTGATTCTGTGCTTGTGAAGTGGTTTGAGCATGTAGCAGAATGGCAGGGCTTGCATTGGCTCCTGAATGGTGTTGACTTTGTCGAGAGCTGGGTACAGTTATGTGGTTTCGTGTTGTAAATTGCTATCGCGATAAAGTTTGGGAAATTTCCGCACCCGTAGTTGTTTGAGTTCGACAACAGACGTGGATATGCATGTTCTTCGCATAACAAGCCAAGATAATACATACGGTACTTCTGGATCCGGACTCCTTCCCCTGACGTCGGCCTTTGTTGCATGAGGGTCGTTTGTGCTGTTCTTCTGGGCCGTTTCCTGATGTTTCGGGCAGGCTTGGTGGACACCTGTGACGTGTTATTGCGTGGATTGGGTCGCGCCTAAGACATAGCTAGTGTCGTGATCTGAACCTGGCTGGGTCATCACTCATTCTCTCGTCTTTGCAAAGCTGGCGACCAGGCACATGTTTTACTCCACAATGGCATAAATTTGTTGGCACACATGCGATACAACTGGGCCCTACATTCTGGAACTGAATGGAATCGTGCAAGCCTGATGCTGCAAACATGACCCTATAATTACTATAATGGGGTGCTGAAGGGAGGTGGATAAAGTGGGAACGCCCTGTCCATGTGGCCAACACATCTCCAGGGTGTAAAATAATAAAATTGTGCCAGACACCAATACCATGCTTGGAAGGGAGATAATTTGCGCTGCAATATCATCAAGGTGTTGGTGTCCATCCCTGCGATGTGTGCTTGAGGCAATCGTGTTGGCAAGAGGTCAGGTCAGGTTCATCCAGCACCCCCCCCCCCCCACACACACATACGAGTAAGCTGCCTCACCATTTGAAACGTGAATACTGAGCTGTGGTTCGGCTATCAATCTCAACAGAATCTTGACCTGTGTGTGTGTGTGGGGGGGGGGGGGGTACGTAGGAATGACATCAGTGGGCTAAGCTGTGCCTTCAGAGCCTCCATAATTATGTTGTGGAGCATAGCCCAGGAAAAACCGTGACAGAAAGAGATAAAATTGGTGACACTTGAAGAGCAAACAAAGACGTCGGGAGCGGACGAAGTGCTTTGAACATGGATTACTTCCCATACACAGACTAAGAGAGATCATGGAGAGATCATGGAGAGATCATGGAGAGATCATGGAGAGCTATCGTGTGGGCACTATTAGAGGGCGACTTAGAAACCTTTAAAATCTACTCAGTTGTAGTGAGGTATATTCTAACTGCGCTAATAGCCTATGACGTGTAGTGACATTCTGTAGACACGTAAGTTACCTGTGCAAGGGATATTGGCATAACATCTACATAACTGTATCTCTAGTTGGTCACGGGAGTTGAGTCGAAAACGCACTCACCCCATCTTGATTCGCCAAGTCTTGATTGTCTTCTACCGTGGACATAATTGCTGTGTTGAAGCAAAGGCAATTCATGTATGTGAATGTGGCGATTGGTGCTTGGTGGTGGACACTTGTGTGAATTGCATGCTCATTGCGTCTTTCTACTGGCGACCTGGCACTGCATCTGCTTGTGAATGTGCATGCGCTAGTGAGTGCTTGGGCCATAGTAAGGGGGGGGGGGGTGGAAGGATCGATATGCGCAATGTGATTTATTCGGCTATGCTACGAGTGTACTTTTACATGCCCATGGGCGACGGGTATGACATACTGCCTCTGGGCACCTGACATGTGTATGGACAATGTGGTGTCTACTGTGTGTGGTACGGAAACACACACACACGTTTAGGTTGGCAGTGATCAGGTGATCGGTGCCAGTACAGCACGGCATCTCCGTGGTATGTATGTACATAATTGTGTAACGCAGATTGAGTATTTCGCTCCTGCTCTTGTAGCAGTTGAGCACTCTCATGTGGGGTGGTGCCTTTGCTGTTTGCGTTATGCAGAGCTCACTGACTTTTCAGTTTGAGTACTCTGGCAAGGTACGTTCGGGCCTGGTTTAAATCTGGCTTTGGAAAATATATTGTTCATTGCCATCAGGTTCGGCCTTATTTTCTCCGTGCTGCGCTGATGAGTCCGCAAAGGACGAAACAGTTCTGTCCGCAGATTGAGCATGTATGTATGTATGTATGTATGTATGTATGTATGTATGTATGTGTGTATGTATGTATGTATGTATCACCCATAACAATATTGGTCGTAGGGGCATTGAATTGTCATTGGCAATAGAAGAAGCTACGTACACTCATAAACAAGCTGTCTATATTCGACGCGCTCAGCAGCAGCGAGAGGCAGAGAGAGAGAGAGAGAGAGAGAGAGAGAGAGAGAGAGAGAGAGAGAGAGAGAGAGAGAGAGAGAGACAGAGAGAGAGACAGAGAGAGAGACAGAGAGAGAGACAGAGAGAGAGAGAGAGAGAGAGAGAGAGCGAGACAGAGAGAGACAGAGAGAGAGAGAGAGAGAGGGAGAGAGAGAGAGAGAGAGAGAGAGAGAGAGACAGAGAAAGAAAGAGAGAGAGATAGATAGATAGATAGATAGATAGATAGAGAGAGAGAGAGAGAGAGAGAGAGAGAGAGAGAGAGAGAACTGCATGACATATTGGACCATTCCTTTTTATTTTATATTTTATACTGAAGTACACAGTCCAGCAGAGAACGGAATGGGAAGACAGAACCAAAGAGGAGACATAACAATACAGCGGGTAGCGGGAGGAGCGTGCTGGTGAATTCGGCCTACCTCCCCTGACCATGGGTCTCGGGATCCTTTAAATTCGTAAACCAGTGGCAATGCACATAAATAAAAGGAATACGCACACTATTAAACAGTAAAATGCTTTAAGCACATGTGCTGGATTATGCAGGCACTGGGTAGCGTCAGTGTTTCCGCTGCATGCCAGGCATTGATTTCCGGCACAGGTCTCGACTCTTTGAGCCTAGTCAAGTGATCTCTGACATGTCTATGTGCCCCCCCCCCCCCCCTGTACCTGTTTCTCTCAGCACAACCAGGAATCTGTAAAAACTGTTCTCCTGGGAGTGTGATCCACATCGGCAGCCTCGCACTCTGTCAGTAAGTATGGTGCGATATTCAGCTGTGGAGTTTAAAACGAATGTATGGGTACCTACATAATTCTAATAGTTCTCCCGGCACGATTTAGACAGAGTTGTGTTATGTACTCCTGGTGTTGATCTCAAAATCCTTTGCCAGTTGGAGAGCTTAATCCAGACCTACGTTATGCCATCGGTTGTGGGACACATACCCTCATCCAGGGGCGTAGCTGGTCCCCCTTTTAGGGGGGGGGGGGGGGGGGGGGGTGCACGGCCGCTTATGTGTAGTATGGCTGGTGCATGTCATTCATGGTCATTATGTGCATGCTGAACCTAGGTCGAAATTTTTAGGCCCAGTGGGGGGGGGGGGGGGTGCATGTGCGCCCCTTGCGGGCTACGCACCTGCTCATCCCTACCTTTAGGCACCGCATCTATTGCTGGGTCATTCCGGGTGTTAGCGACCGTCGTGAGTTCCGTTGGGAACGGAGACGAAGATTAATCTTCTTCCCCGTGGGTTCGGTATCAGACCTTACGCCATCTATTGGAGAAAAATAAAATGACTGCATCATTGTGATCATTTTGTATGCATAGATGATGATGGAATTGTAACTGGCATTGTAACTGTCAATTCTGGGACTGGCATAGTGCATACTGTTATTGGATTGGATTGTCCGTCTTCTACCCTGTTATCTTTTACAGGTGCCCAGCTGGGATTAGCGGAGAGTGCTGCAAGGAACTGCTCGCCAACTGCTCCGATCAGCCGTGCGACAACTATGGGCTCTGTAACCAGACCAGCACAGATCTTGTGGAATGCCACTGCCTGGCAGGTAATGTGTGCCAGCACTCCAGGCCTTTACCTCTGGATTTACTTCTGTATCAGTTCTTTCACTTCCAGCATGTACTAGGAGAGTTTGGATGGATTTCCAGCAATTTTGGATGGCCCACCTTGGTGAAGTACAATGTTGCATCTTCGCTTACAACTGATTGGTTGCCCGTGCATGCATGGGCTCCCCAGCAAGTTGGGCGCTCACCTGTGGATCAATTGTGTCTTGGGCTCAATGGGCAAAGCAAAGTGCTTCATGCCACTCTTCTGCTGATTTTCAGCGATTCCTGCTTTAGTAGCACCTCTCATCCACCCCGCACCGCCCCCACACATAATGTGAACATAGTAAAAAAAACAAAAGCAAAAAACACACTTCCACCAATTTTCGAATGTTGGCTAGGTACTAATCTAGGCTACGAAATTGGCCAGATCAGTTGTGAAGAGGGTGCTAGGTCGTGCCTACTTCGAAGTACAACTCAGTATGGTCTGTAGACCAGTGGACACTCTGGAAAGTTGAGTGGAAACCCATTGTTCAATGTACTCCAAAGGCTAGGTTGAGTATCAGGTTACCCATGTCACAGAAAGACGCACGACATCACAGCATACCTGCCAGTAGCTTTCGCTCCTTCCAGATCTGCTCCTGGCGAATATCAGGCCTCTGAAAGGAACACTGCCAACGCAATGCTGCTACAATCACTATACTCACCTGTGGGCAAGGGCTCATCTCTGATGTTGAATGCTTCTCTGTGCGGTTCCTACGCTCTGTGCAGGAACTAGTGGTGTGAGCTGCAGCATCAATGCGGACGACTGCGCAAGTAATCCGTGTCCAGGGAATGCCACGTGCAGAGACGGTATCAACAACTACACCTGCCAATGTAATCCGGGAATGACTGGTGAGTGTACCATTATGACCGAATGCAAGCGACGTTGCTGAAAAATATTCAAAAAAAATCACGGTCCGCGCTAGACTCGGCTGGAAGCCGACTTTTCCGCATCCGTAGGGACGCCACCCACCTCTGTGGATAATAGGTTGCTCAGCCCTTGCAAAAGTGCTCAATGCCACGAGGGCAGAACCTAAAACACAAGTTAGCACTGGAATTAGGCTGCATTAAGCTTTAACTCAACGTCTCATGGCTGTCCACCAATCCAACCTCAGACAACATGCTAACTTTCGGCATTCGGACAATAGGTACTTCAGGAACTACTAGTAAGCACTTTCTTCTTCAGTGTATTGTATCGGCAAAGCTTAGGGTAATGCAACGAAAGCCTTGTTCTTGTCCCTGCTGGTATTTTAAACTCATTGTTTTAAAACATTTCCACGGCGAGAGCCTTGTTGACCCAGATGTTATCATCAGTATAAGATCATGTGTACATGGTTTGTTCTCTCTGTTCCCTGCGACCCGTATGCAGGTATTCACTGCACTGAAATCGACCACTGCCATGGATTTGTGTGCCACAACAATGGCGTGTGCGTGGTCAACGGGACAATGCCGTATTGCCAATGCCTGCAAGAGTAAGCCATAGACTGTGTAGTAAACTAGTATCGCTGAGCTCACTATACCATTCACTCTACTGAGTATGCCTGAAATTTAACCGCGGCCAAAAGTGAACCACGAAAGCAGGCTATGGTCTAGTGTATGTTTTACATGAGCGAGTTTATGCATAGATTTTTCTTGATTTAATGGCTGCTTTATTGTTTGAGTATTGCATGAGTCGTGTTACTCTAAGCTACTAGTACTTGCGAATTAGTGTGCGTGTGTGTGTGTGTGTGTGTGTGTATGTAAATAGTGGCGGTCATTTAATGAGCCCTGCAAGCTGTTGAATGGTGTAATCCCAGCACACATTGCTATGTCTAACATGGCTGTTCGCTGTCATCGCTTCCGAGATGGGCATGCCGTTGTCTGAGTCTGAGTGTGTGTCTGATTATGCTGTGCTTCCGCAGTGTGTACTACGACGATATATGTCTGAATACAGACCCGTGCATGTCCACGCCGTGTCACCTTGATGCGACGTGCACGCCGGTGCATTCACGAATTGAACCGTACTACCTGTGCACGTGTCGGGCAGGTCTGACTGGCAGTACTTGCAATCAGGTAACTACTTAGCTCAGTAGCACTGCTATTCATGCAAACTTGACGCCCTCTTTCAAGCTCAGGTTTAGATGTATCCATAATGTAGAACGTGTGGTTAGTTTATTAGTATGAAACAAATGAAACAAATGAAACAAATGTAAAAGGACACTTGGATATGGCTCATTGGTATGAGGGAAAGATGCGAACGGGAAAAGTCCGAAGAAAAAACTGACTGTCACCACCACTGGATTTGAGTTATTAGTTATTCATTAAATGTACATGTATTTGTATCTTATGTAGGATCTGAATGAGTGCTTGAATGAGGAGCTGTGCCGCAACAATGGCACCTGCGTCAACAATCATGGTAGCTATAGCTGCTCCTGCAAGCCTGGCTTCACTGGCAGCCAGTGCGGAACTAACGTGGATAGATGTGCTTCGCAGCCGTGTGTACACGGTACTTGTCAGGATCAGACTGCTGCCTTCTCCTGTTCTTGTGCTGCCGGTTATACTGGTGAGTGATTTATGATCTCATCTACCTATCTCAAACTCTCTCACTTTCTCTCTCTATCCCCCCCCCCCCCCCTCTCTCTCTCCCTCTCTCTCTGCGCGTGTGACTACGGTTGATATCATAATAGCTATGTGATAAGTGATGCAGTGAAGAGTTTAGCTGTACTGTGTGCTTCCAAAGGAGTAAATTTGCTGCACGTTTTGATGCATTTCTCAAGTGCACTGTAGTGTGTACAGTGGTCCGAACTAGCAGTTGTGTTTCACTTATTCTAGCTCCATGGACCTGCAAGGTTTGGTGAAACGGCCAGCTTGCCTCTAATACTCACGCCTTCCACCCCTTCACCGCACCATGGTGCCCCTGAAGGTGGTAGCTGTGTTGAATTATTGTGCAGCTCCTGTAGGTCGTAGCGCTACATTCACCAGGAGGTGTGACTAAGGTGAAAGGTTATCATCTTGCTGCTGCCCTGCTAGATGCAGCCATTAGCTGTTGTTGACACTTTCGACGGGCGCAGCTGCTACATATGGCTTGTGTTGGCCGGTCTATGGGTCAGTTGTGTAATGTTACTGTGCACACTATGTGTAGTGTGTGTCTTCCTTTAGTCCCTGACCGTTGGTGACGTTTCAGTTTCCTGCTGTCGCTCCGCCGCTCTTCCTCCCTCGTGCTTCGTCAGTTCATCCGTGAACCGTCTTCTTCGTTGCTGCAAGTGAGCCAGCAAGCAAGGTCGCTCAGTGTTAGCCTGCTTCATGATGGTTTCCGTGTCCACCATTGTTTGTCCTCGCTCCGGGCAGAGGCAGCAGCCGCAGCAAATACCAGGCGCCACTGCCAGCAATGCCGTTCAGGCCGAGAAGCTTCGCTGGCAGGCCCGCCGTGCCTACATGGCCAGTGATTGGCACCGCCTGCGCGAGTGTGTGCTCAGCATTGTCCGGCTTCAACCGGGCCTGAACGTCGAGGAACGTTTCTACTTGGCTGTCAGCCAGGATAGCATCTGCCAGTCGTTGCTGGATTCGTACACCGATCTGTGTGCATTCGACAAGCGAAATGCTGATGGCGGTGCAGTGTTTCTGGAGAAGGACCTGAATCATGCGTATCGTGTGGAGGTTGCCAATGAGCTGAAAAAGATGTGCCAGGATTTGCTTGGCTTACTGCTGACTACTCTCTTGCCCTACTCCCTGGACATGGAGGCTAGAGTAGACTTTCTAAGGATTAAAGCCTCCCAGCACGTCTTCCTTGGATTGGTTAGCAAGGCAGATGAAGAGTTTGAGTGGGCTCGGCTATCCTTCACGTCGGCATGGCGCAAGGCTCAGGCACTTTCGGCGACCAGCGTGAGCCGTCTCACCACTGCTCGTAGCCTCTCTGAATTTCTCCTGACGCATCGCAAGCGGCCCGACCTGGCTTTGAGTGTAACGCTTGAAGCGCTGCGTTCCTACGACAACTCCTTGAAGATTCTGAATATCTACTTGCCCGAGCCGCTTCATCCGGTTTCCACGCATCTGGTTATGTGTATGCGTCATGATGCGGAACGCTGGGCCACGGCACGGGACCAGCGCCGTTTGTCACTCTCCTCCTTACGTTCAGTGGTGCGTTCCTTGAGTCGGCGGCGGGCAAAAAGGGCATCAGCGAGTTGATCTTTACCCTGGCCACATGGCATGACATCAGCGTGTTGATTGTTTCCCCGACTAGAAGTAGTTCAGTTCACGTCCTGACCTGCTCAGTTCCATACTCTTCATGTCCAGCTTAGTCAGTCCATGTGTTGTAAGAAGGTGAGGCAACACATGGAGTACACATGTTTCCTGCGCTGTATTGCCTTTTCGTTGCACTACACGTTTGCAGGGAATGTACACTGTAGCATGTACCCTTGTCACCCTCCCCCCCCTCCCCCCCCCCCATTCCTTCTTGGCTTCGACCCGTCCCATACCTGCCATACCTGCAACCTTGGTTCGAGCCTGACCCCACATGATCCCCCCTCTCCCTTTCCTTTGACCCACCTCGTACATGCACGCCTCTTCCAGCCCAACCCCACATTATTTTGTGTATTGCCAAGCACCGATGGCTGTATCCTTTCAAGAACTCGAATAGTACTTGCCTCAAGTCAGCGCAGCATTGTTGTCACAGTCCAGGCCTATTGTTCATGGTTGAATTCTACTATCCTGAAGTATGCTCTTTTCTGTTATGCATATCTAGTAGGAATGGGGCAAAGTCTTCAAATTTCAATCATACATTTTTCTGTAGACTGTATGTTTACAAACAGTCCATGGTAAAACTTGTGCTCATTTTCTGCAGTGGTGATTATGTGCATTATTTGGTACATTACAAGCTCTTTGCACTGAAACAATTGCTGTGTCTTGGATCAGTGTGCATATTCACTGTGAGCATACTGTACAAGTGACAAGCTGCCTGCGTCTGCCTCCACACCGCGTTAATATGTGCATAATAATTCTATGCTGTACAAACCCGCTATCAACTGTTTGTGTGTGCGCTGTGAGTGGTTTAGAAGAGTCTTACACCTCTTCAGGAGATATGACTCATATGAGCCACATCTGCCGGCTCATTCAGTGGATGAATGTCGTCAGCTATTCAGTTGAAAAACAAGAGAGTGTGTGTGTGTGTGTGTGTTTGTTTGTGTACTCAATATGTACCTAGGTGTGCACTGTGAGACATCCGTGAACGACTGTATCGAGAAGGGTTGTTACAACGGAGGAACGTGTGTGGACGTGCACAATAACTACACGTAAGGTTTTGAGTCTGCGCTGTCTTGCACTAGGCTAGAACACAACCCTCTGGCAGCTTAATTCGTTATTTCAGGCTCAGGAGCCCACCATTATGCGCAAGGGAATTCACCTATAGGTAGTCCTGCACCAACAAGAAAAGGATGAAAATCGTGTTGTAAATCCGTAATGGGCTTAGTCTGTATGCTGGTTTAGATGAGTTGTGAGCCACAGCAGTGCACTACATAGCGCGATTTAAAATAGTTCAACAAGCGATAAGCATAGTAGCTGGTTGTCTGCCACTTGATCAGGTGATGCCTGTTGAAGGTTCAAAGTTGGAAGGTCGTACTTGGTTTCGTGACGGCACTTTCAGACAAGTTCACTCCTTTTGTTGACGGATACTGTGTACGACTTGGATGAATGCGCGATCACCAATTTTCCTGCGAGGCGTAAATTGCACTTAACCAAAGGTGCAGTTTATGCCTTGCAACTTCGAGCCTTCAACAGGTATCACCTGATCGAGTGGCAGACAACCAGCTACTATGCTTATCATGTGTTGAACTATTCTTCACGCTATGTTGTGCACTGCTGTGGACCACACCTTTACTTTGTGGGTATGTAAACCAGCAACCATATTTCTCTCGTTACTGTTGTCTAATGATCGCCTCGTGCATGAAACTCTGAGTTACGACTCAATATCCATCTTTTCTTGTTGTAAGTAGCTCTGCCCTTTGGCATCAAGCACTCAATTTTTGACCTACCTGGAACCTTTCTCTTTTGTTGTTGTGTAGTTGTGCATCTACTTACACATCGTAAGTCAGTGGCTGAAGATCTGCTGTTGTTGTTGCTTTAGATTGTTGATGCTCGGATAGCCAGCATGCTTTTTTTTTGTGTAATTGTCTTAGCAAAGACATGTACTGGTATGTATGTGGAACATGGCCCTCTCACGCTGTTTCTCTCTCTCTCTCTCTCTCTCTCTCTCTCTCTCTCTCAGGTGTATCTGTGCGCTGGGATACACCGGGCCATTCTGCGCTGATGATGTCGATGAGTGTCTAGCAGCGCCCTGCCAGCGGAATGGCACGTGCGACAACTACCCGGGAGTCTACCGCTGCAAGTGTGTCAGTGGCTTCACTGGCAAGCATTGTTCTCGTGACGTGGACGAGTGCAGCACAACGTGAGTGTGCATTTGTCAAGAAATCCCGTATGCATGATCCATATTGGCTGCCATGACGTATATGTATTCAAGGAACCAAGGTGTGGTAGTTTCACATGAAGCAATCATTCAGGCTTAGTTGTCTATTGTTCGATTGTGGGTGTCATATGCCAGTTACTGGTAGTTAGACAGACTATTAACATCAGTCATCAATAATTTGGTGCTTTCATGTTCATTTCAAAATTGTACTTGTATTTTGTACTCCTGCAGTTTTCCTGTACCATTCACATGCAGGCACTGATTTCCCATCTCTAAACTTAGGTTGCAATGGTGAATGTCTTCGCATGGGTATATTTCATGTCCTGTATTGCTGTGTGTTGTCTATCATTTTATGTCTTGTATTCCTGTGTGTTGTCTGGCATCATGTCCTGTGGTAGTCCTTGCAAGCACAGCGGCGTGTGCAGTAACACGGTCGGATCCTACACGTGTGCTTGTCTGGCTGGTACCACCGGTGATGACTGTGCTGTGGACGTGAACGAATGCTCTTCATCACCGTGTCTCAACGGAGGCACGTGTCAGCAAAGAAACTGGACCGTGTCGATTACCAGTACATACCACTGTCTGTGTCCACCGCAATACACAGGTAGGGCGACTGGTTCAATCTGGACTAGTGCTGCATGGCTTCTCTCCAGGCGTGTCTCTGAGTACATGAATGCAGCTCTCACTGGGGATGTTTTTCTTTTTGCCTTTCCTCTCCACTCTCCCTTGCCCCCAATATCCTTCTTTACTTTGCCCCTTGCCCCTTGCCCTTTCTCCATTAACCTGTCCCCTGGAAAATCGTAACAGTATGTATACCCAGGTCTAGTGGGTATGTCAATTCAATGACGTCATGAGGAGACGATGCACATCCAGAGTCTAACACAGTGGACTTCGTCTCATAGTAGGTGTGATGTACCTTTTTGCCTCCACAGACTAGTAGGTGAACTGTATTCAGAGGGGCAGTTCTGCAGTGTTCATTCACTTATAACAACACCAGCATGTCACAGACAGTCCAACAAGATGATCCTATAGTAGCTACAAATTATATCTGTGTGATGTGCTTTAGAGTTGGAACAGGAACGTGGTGTGTGTGTGTGTGTGTGTGTGTGTGTGTGTGTGTGTGTGTGTGTGTGTGTGTGTGTGTGTGTGTGACCAGCACTGCACGCTTCTTCCGACGCCTTTTCAATACCGTACATTTCACTTAATTCGGTGGTACTGTGCCGGCCATGTGCAGGTACGCGTTGTGAAACTCTCTGGGATGACTGCTACGTTGATGCTACGCACACACATTGCCTGAATGGTGGCACGTGTCATGATCAGGTTGGGACATTCCGGTGTTCATGTCCTGCTGGCTACACTGGCGTTCATTGTGAGACGGATGTCGACGAATGTCTTCCGTCACCGTGTCTCAGCGGTGCGACATGCCACGACATGGTAAGACCTCGGTGGATCCACACTGCATCCGCGTGTGTGTGTGTATATGTGTGTGTGTGTGTGTGTGTGTGTGTGTATATGTGTGTGTGTATATGTGTGTGTGTGTGTCTCAGTTTAGGTCTGTCCAGAACTACACGTGTCTTTCTGCCTCCGTGAGCAACTTTGGCCTTGGGATTAGACACAGATATAATAGGCTGCATAGATGTCCATGTGGATTTGTTGTACAGTAACACTATACTTTAAACGTACTCCCCAGAGTGTTCAGGGAGACTGGACGCACGATGTAGAGCAGTTTTATGTGGCACTCATCTAGATTAGCTTCCACTGCATGTAGTCTGATGTTTTCAAGTGGCTTTCCTCCAAGTAGCTAGTTATCAAGAGCCTGCTTCAATGGTACACTATAGAATAATCACCGATAACGTGATGTTGGAAATTGCTGTTCGATTATGCTGTTGTTCTTGTCCTTTCCTGGTCCAGGTCAACGCATTCCAGTGCACATGCCCTGCTGGGTTCACCGGGTCGCAGTGCCAGAGCAGTGTCATAGACCATTGCCGTACAGCACCCTGTCCACACCATTCCAGCTGTACAGACACACCGAGTGGCTACACTTGCCAGTGTGCCAGCGGTTACACCGGCGTACAATGCCAGATTGACATCAACGAGTGTGCGTCACAGCCTTGCCGTAACGGTGGTCAGTGCAGCGACTTGCCTGGAGGTTTCAGTTGCTCCTGCACCGGAACACGTTACGCGGGCGATCGGTGCGAGATAAGCCTCTGCGACCGGCACTGCACCGCGGACAACACAAACAAGTGCATAGCGGACACGGCAATTCCAAATGGTGTCCGCTGCCAGTGCCTGTCGGGCTACACGGGGTCGTCATGTGACAAGGAAACGGACGAATGCAAGCCCGACCCGTGTCACAATGGCGCTGTCTGTGAGGACAAGGCCAATGACTTTAAGTGCAAGTGTGCACCGGGATTCATGGGAAAGATGTAAGTAGTCATGTAGTGCACCGGTCAGCTGCTTGCTACTATCTCCTCTGTGTGAGCAAAAGTCTGGCCATCAGGGTTTTGTGTATTGGAATGATTTTGAGATACATGTGCAGAGGGATTTGATATACCTGTATTGAAGCTGCTACTATCTCTTCTGTGGGCATCTGATAGTCATAAGGGTTTAGTGTTTTGGAATGATTTTGAGATACACCTGTACGGAAGAGTTAGATAGACCTGTATGGAAATGTACTTGTGAACACCTCCATTCCCTGTTATATACAAGTATACGATATCTTGTATATAGCTATCCGTCACTGCAGCAACGGCATCCCGGTACATGTCAGGATTAGTGCGCATGCGCAAGGAGTCAGGTTGGTTCTTGTTCATGGAGTAAGAGTTTGGAAATGTACCTTGATTGAGATTCCCTTGTTGTGTCTTTGGAAAGACATAAAATTCCCCGAACAGGCTCTGAGCTGCACGAAAGCCTGTTCCGGGAATGGAGGTGTTAACAAGCGGAAAGAAAGCGTTACAGTGGAGTCGGAGAGTATTAAGGAATTGTATTGAAATGATTGTGATATACCGGCTGTTAGTAATAATAGTAGTACTGAGTGCAATGCATTTGCTAGCCTGTATCAAGCTGATACCAGTGTTACACGCACTTGGATGTTGTGTCGGTGTTTCAGGTGTGATGTCGACGAGGACGAGTGTGCACTGCTGCGTCCCGCGTGCGTTGTCGGCTCCTGCAACAACCACCACGGTTCCTACAGCTGCATGTGCCCGGACGGATTCAGCGGCTCACGCTGTGAGAACAATCTGGACAACTGTGCTGCGGCGGTGGCAGCAGTGACAACGTCCGTACTGTGTCAAAACGGCGGAAGCTGTATTGACGGCGCTGACCATCATACCTGCATCTGCTCGGCTGGCTTCATCGGTGACGAGTGTGAGAAGCGAAACGAGACGGTTTCCGGTAAGCCCACTTCGCCATGGTTAACGCATGTCCCTGTTCAGGTGTGTCGCACATTTGCTGTCTGGATATTAGCAACAAGCATCATAATGGATGCATGCTTGGAATAGTCATTCGATTTTTGTGGGATACTGCTCAGCTCAGTGTCAAGTCAGTCGGCAGGAAGCGCGAACTCCGACGTTTGGAGCAGACACTTTCTTCACTACTCAGCTCATTCAAGCAAAACATCTCTTACCCCTTGCCCTCCAATGGTCAGACTTGACTGTATCTTTCAGATCTTTATCCTTTATTTCAAGTCTTGGAAGGTCCTTTAGTTAGGCGTAGCATTTACCTAGTGAGGGATCACCAATTCAGCGTTTTACTGAAACAATGTTGAGTTACGAAGAAAGCTGCATAATTATGTAATGGTTCGCTGTGTTGTCTGATGTATGCGTGCTTGGTATTACAGCTAACAGTATCTGCCCAAGCAGCTGCAAGTCATACTCGGATAACTATTGCGACGTAAGTCTTCCCATTGCACTGTGTGTGTGTGTGTGTGTGTGTGTGTGTGTGTGTGTGTGTGTGTGTGTGTGTGTGTGTGTGTGTGTGTGTGTGTGTGTGTGTGTGTGCATGTGCGTGCGTGTGTGTATGTATGTATGTGTGTGTGTGTTTGTTTGTGTGAGTATGCGTGCGTGCTTCCAAGTATATGTATATCACAGTACCATTAACACAGTACCATGGCCACCGGTCTCCTGCATGGTACTGTTTACACACCATTCTGCAGATCATGTGTGCGGCAAGTAGGCCACACATCCCGTACTCTGCACTGCGCTTTTGGAAATGGTCCCTTCATGCTATAGTGTGAGTCAACCAACAATTCATTGAACTGTTTTGAAACAGTTGCGTCGGGATAGGTTTGATATTTCTTCCCTCACATGGAGATGTGTAGACAGCACTGGTGATGTGTTTTCTGACTCTGTTTGCTTGTTATAATAGCACTATGACAGTTTTCTAAGGAGTCTTGTAGCACTTTGTGTGTGCGGTTTCACTTCTATTTCTGGCTCATTGATGATCCTTTGCTTGTCTCTGCTACATGCAGCAAGCATGCAACAGGGCAGCTTGCTCGTGGGACCGTATGGATTGCTCCCTGCACTTCAATCCCTGGCTGCAGTGCGCCCATGTAGCAACCTCTGATGGCAAGAAGTGCTGGGAAGTGTTCGAAGACGGAGTATGCAATCAAGAGTGTAACTGCGATGTGTGCAATTTCGACGGAAGAGACTGTGAAGCCATGGAGCGGACATGCAAGTAAGAATATGATTCCTAAGTGTCTTTAGTCGTTATGTCAAAGGCAAGGATGCATACAGGCACCAGCTTTGCCTCACTTTTCTGTAGACAAACATTTCTCCAGCGTTCCGCTTTGATTTTTGGGAAATGCATGATTCTTCATGTCACTGCTCTCTACGTTCCTTGCATGCCACATTCATTCACTTTGATGATGATTTTGATATGCTTTCTGCAGTGATTTATCCACATGCGAGAATGACTTCAACAATGAGAAGTGCAACGAAAACTGCAATTCTCTGGCCTGTGGCTGGGATGGTGGCGATTGTGTCGATGCAACAATACTGGTAAGATGCTGCTGTAATCGCCGATGTTGGTTTGATTTCCGGTGTGTGTGTGTGTGTGTGTGTGCGCGTGCGCGCGTGCGTGTGTTGTAGCACTTTGTGTGTGAGGTTTCACCGTCATTCCCTGCTGCCAGTTTGCCTGTTTTCCGTGTACTAACGTTAGAATGTGTGGACGAGCCTGTTTGAGCAGCACTAACTTGCTTGAAGGAAGACTTATAGTTCACCTGTGTGTGGCATCTGTGTTTCATGCAGTTGGAAGGAGAGCTTTGGATGATAGTGGATGTTGATGTCAAGCACTTCACCCGAGAGTTTGCCCAGTCGCTGCGCTACAACTTCAGCAAGTTGCTGCGTGGTATCGTTGTCATCGAGGCAAACGTATCTGTCGACGGCAAGGCTGTAGAGGAGATGGTGAATGAGGTGAGACCGGCGCTTCGGGATCTCACAGGATTCCACAGAAAGTCATAGCATGCAGTATTAGGTCATTTCCAGGTGTATAATAGTGACTTCAGCCTTGGCTTTGGGTTCTTTTGAAAGGCAAGGAACAGTGCAACCCTAGGACCTCAACTACTGGACTGTGAACTGGCTCAGAGCACTGGACTGGGAACGGGATGGTGTTGTGTTGCGGAGCACTAGCATGTTCATAATTCCGGATGCCATTGGACACCGAATCATCGGAATCATCATGCACACACATGCCTAACTCAGAGTGATAGCTGCAAGTAGAGTGAGACTGTTTGCTCCCTGCTCATGATGATCGTCAATTGTACTCACTGTAGTAAAGCTTTGTGGCTATACGTACGTACATATTTCGCTCCTGCTCTTGTAGCAGTTGAGCACTCTTGCGTGGGGTAGTGCCTTTGCTGATTGCGTTATGCAGAGCTCACTGACTTGTCAGTTTGAGCACTCTGGCAAGGTACGTTCGGGCCTGATCGGAAATTTTTATTTCCATTGCTTTCAGGTTCGGCCTCATTTTCTCTGTGCTGCGCTGATGAGTTCAAAAAGAACGAAACAGCATGCTGTCCGCAGATTGAGTATTTCGCTCCTGCTCTTGTAGCAGTTGAGCACTCTTGCGTGGGGTAGTGCCTTTGCTGATTGCGTTATGCAGAGCTCACTGACTTGTCAGTTTGAGCACTCTGGCAAGGTACGTTCGGGCCTGATCGGAAATTTTTATTTCCATTGCTTTCAGGTTCGGCCTCATTTTCTCTGTGCTGCGCTGATGAGTTCAAAAAGAACGAAACAGCATGCTGTCCGCAGATTGAGTATTTCGCTCCTGCTCTTGTAGCAGTTGAGCACTCTTGCGTGGGGTAGTGCCTTTGCTGATTGCGTTATGCAGAGCTCACTGACTTGTCAGTTTGAGCACTCTGGCAAGGTACGTTCGGGCCTGATCGGAAATTTTTATTTCCATTGCTTTCAGGTTCGGCCTCATTTTCTCTGTGCTGCGCTGATGAGTTCAAAAAGAACGAAACAGCATGCTGTCCGCAGATTGAGTACATACATGTATGTGTGTATGTGTGTTTCTGTTTTCCGCGCTGTGTTGGTGCCTAGCTAATGTCCTCGGCTGTAGAATCTGGATCACGCTCAAAACGAAGCAAACAACAGACCAATCTGCTGGCGCGTTACTCTGGAAGGAACTTGTAAGTGTTTGTGTTTGCTGGTTACGCCCTCTTGATGTGTTCTCGGAGATGAGTAAGCACATCTTTGCGTGTGCTTATAATATTACCGACGCGCGCGCACGCGCGCTTGTGTGTGTCTATTCATGTGTGCGTTTGTCTATGTGTGTGTAAGTGCATAATTATGTGTGTGTGTGCCCATTCATGTGTGTGTATACTTGATTTGGTGCATGGATGTGCAAGCATGCGGGTCAATAGCACTTGTGTGGCTTGGCAGATTATCCAGCCATTTGAACCACCAGGGCACTGGTTTAGTCTGATGCATGCATCTGTTTTGTTCTATTATTCTTTGTGTGTGTCCACAGTACCAATGTCAGCATGACACTCAACGTTGCCCCGTGCAAGGCTGACCCGTCCACCAAGGACACGTGTTTCATTGATGTCCGGGAGGTAAGGACTAAGCCGCAGCTGCGATACTAGTGGGCACTTCATTCATCCAGCTTGTCACATGACCAAATCTGCGTAGAATCTGTGCTTGGCACATGGACTGCTGATGCATATGATTATGGTCTGGATCATGACTGTGTCCTTTGGATTCAGGGATTAAACTGTGCTTGGAACATGGCTATCCCATCTAATATATGTGAAGCATCTCTGTTAGATTGAAACAAGGAAAACCGTGGGGCACAAGTTATGCGTTAGAGTCCACCAACTAAACCAAGTTTTGAACAGCCAGACATGCACAAGATAGCACCAGACTGACAAGGAGTACTGAGACATTCCACGGCAAGGAAGTGAGCTTGAGGACTGCTCGATAGCGCTAACCAACGGCCTTCCAACTTGCATGGAAGGTTCATGGATATTAGTGATTAATTCCAATCTTAGTAATTACATCTCTGTTAGGTTATAATTTGGCTGGAAGGTTAGGATCCAGACTACAGAGGAAGTGCAATGTCAGTGTACCTGACCACCAGTATAGCTGATGTACAAGTAGCACATGTACTCATGTATGTTTGTGTGCATGCATATAACATGTGTGCGTGTGTATGTGTGCGTGTGTGTGCGCGCACGTGCGTGCGTATGTATGTCGGTGTATGCTGTACAGGTGGCTAGTTTTGTCTCTGCAACAGCTCAAGTATCTAAACTGGGCAGTGATGAACACATCATCTCCGTTGGAGGTAAGTCATGTGACAACACTGCTCTTGAGTCATGTGACAACACTGCTCTTGAGTCATGTGACCACACTGCTCTTGATGTGCATGGTAGGCTGACAAGTCTTGTGTGCACTGCATTGGACAACCTGTTGTTCTATGTTCATGTACATGCAGTGTGGCATGTGTGAGTTTTTGTACTGTACAGAGACAACCTCTTGAATAAAGTAGCGCCGCATTGCTATTTGCTATTTGCTATTTTATTCATGAGGTTGCATTTCTTTGACCAGTACTGTAAACTCCGCTGATAATTTGCTTCATGGGATTGATTTCCTTCAGCTGCAACCAGCAAGACCAACACACCAGAGAAGGAACCAGGATGGATGGAGCACTTATACAAGTACGGTTTACCAGGAATTGGCACCGTGCTACTGGTGGGGGTGGCTGCGACCGTCGTGTTTAAGCGCAAGAAGCGGCTCCGAGCCCGCACCGTCAAGATCTTCCCGGAGCCAAGCCGTAAGCGGGCCTCTTCGGGTCGCAAGTCTCCAGCCGGTGCTAGTGCCTGTGGCCAGGATTCAAGCATGGAGATGAAGTGAGTAAAATGTAGATATCCAGTTGTACCCAGCACCGTTATGCAATCCTTGACTATATGAAAACAGTATCTGGACCATGATTATCCAACCCTGCCTTTCCACCTACCGGTTATCCACACACACGACTATTGGAATACAGTATGCAGTAGAGGTACTACATGTACCACAAAGGAGAACACAAAAGTCTGTCCCCGGGGAAAATTGCGATTCCGCGGCCGCGTTTTTTTCCGCGTTTTTTGCGATTTTTTAAAAGACCGCGTTTTCCGCGATTTTCCCGCGTTTTTTGAACTTTTTTGTTGCACCACACGTACACACAGTGCACTGTTCGGTCAGCAACGTCTCATCGTGGCGGCTTTTTACTCAAATATGACCAGTGCTTACACCAGAGACTTGTAACTGATTGATTTCACTACATACTCACTGAAAATTGCCGCACATCAATATTATTCACCGCATATTTACCGCATATTTACCGCAAATTCACCGCAAATTATGCCATATTATGCCGCGTTTTCCCCCGCGTTTTTTTGCGATTTTTTCCGCAATTTTCCCCGGGGACAGAAAAGTGTACTCGGGATCAGGAGTACTTCTTATCCAAACCGTGATTCATGGTCTACACAATCTTGGGCAATGCACCGACGCCCCGGACAATGTGCACCTAGAGTATTGCACCTGAACTGGCAAGCAGCCATCGACGCCCTATGAAACGGTTTAGACCAGTGCCTCACTAGCAGTCGTCCCTCCCCCTTTACCACAATGTGATGTTATCTTTCACTCTGCTTCTTTCACGACCATCTACCCATTGTCGTCACTATTATTCATTTCCCCTCCTCCTCCCCTCCTCACGCTTTTACTGCATTATGCATATTCGGGAATATAGTAAAAAAATAAAAAAATAAAAAAATCTGAATGCTGTCGCAATGTTAGAATAGTGTTTTTTTTGCTTTCCATCTTGTTCTTACCCTACTTTGTTGAGAGGTGTAACCTTTACTCACCAGATAAAGCTTTCTACCCAAATTGTCACTGGGACTCTTGCATTTACAATCCTTCTTGATTCAACCACTCACAAGTATACAAGAGATCCACAACTTCCAAATTTTGCCATAGGGAAGTTCCCTGCAATGATAGTAACAGCAATTGTAAACTGCAACATGCTAAGCCAGCGACAGAAATTAATTGTGGACTAAATTACTTGCCCTGCCCTTGCTTGATCTTTGACCACAAACCCTTTAGTTGCTCTATTTCAAAATTTGTGTGAAAACATGCTGCTCATAGCAAAAGAATCATAATTATGATAATCAGAGATGGATCCACGCTATCTTGAAACAAGCCAAGAAATGTGCTGTGAAATATCAATTAAAATCAGGATACCGACCGACCACCTTACCTGAAAAGTTACTTATATAGCCTATCCTGGCTCTGAACTTCACACCTGAAATGATTGGTCAACTGCCTTTGCCCAATGAGAGTTCAGTGAGTGTTTGAGTGATGTGTTTGCAAGCCGAGAATAAGCAGAGAATATTCTAAAAGCGCGTGTGTGCGTTCATTTGCTGCATGTGTGCTTTACAGGGATCCGAAGTCTCCCAAACCCATCAAGGAAGGTGCGTGGATGACGGAGAGCAACACGGAGCCCATCAGCATGCACCCTGGTCTCGTTCACTACCGTATCAACAAGCCGAGCGGCGCTGGCGGTCGACGCGTGTCTCCAGTCGGTATGAGTGGCGATGGCGCTGACACTGCTATTAGCAGTTCCCAGCACTCACTCAGACACACTGGTGGTCAGACAAGCTCAGGTGGCAACACTATGGGGGATCCTATGACGATAATCGGCAAGCCGCCGACAACGTCACTAGCCAATTGGAGTACGCTACACAAGCAAGCGGCCAGTGGCGGCGGTGTAGGTGGCCACTTGTCAGGACCCATACTCACACCGCCCAGCGACACCAGCAGCGAGGATCTGGACCGCGTGCTGTCCAACGTCAACTCGCGCGGCCCGGACGGCATCACGCCTCTGATGCTGGCTGCTTGCAATCCAAGCCAGTACGCCGACATGAAGCCGCACCACGCCCATCGCATGATGCCACCTCAGTCCCATCTGCCCCCGGGCATGGGAAACCCGTTGGACCCGCATGGCATCATGTTTGCCAACCCGATGGCGATGACAGCAATGACGACGGCACACTCCGAACTCTTCTACGGCATGGGCCCGGCGGCACCAGAAAGCTTCCTGCAGAGACTGCTGACCATGGGTGCCGACTGCAACGCCAGGACGTACTCGATGCAAGAGACGGCTCTTCACCTGGCGGCCCGCTGCGGTGTGGCAGATAATGTCAACGTGCTTCTCCACTACGGCGCTGATCCAAACGCAGTAGATAAATACGGTGCCAGCCCACTGCACGCTGCTGTGTCGGCCGGGGCTACGGCTGTTGTTCAGGTTAGCTACAATGGAAAATAGAACACAAACCAGAATACAGAAATACTGCCTCGACATGATTCCAACGAAAAAGAACTCTAATAATGCACGTGTTCTGTATCAAGAACATCCCCGGGATATGAGAACATTCTACATTCTGAACTTAATTGTCCTATGGAACTTGTGACGGTCTTGACAAAGGAACCTCTCAAAAGGCGGAAGAGACCAAAGTAGATTGGTTTCAGGTCCTTATCATGATTATTAACTGAATGCACGTGGACAGTATTCATTGTATGAACAGTGGACAGGTGGCATTATGTGATCCATAGGCGCAGTGGTCAACTGGTCTGGAACCAACATGACTGCATTGTTATGTGGTCGATGTGCAGCAGCTCTACATGAGGTGCATCAATCAAACACTATTTTTCATGTTTGCGTGTTGCACCCATGCTCCTTTCCCTTACGTCCAGGTACTCCTGGGTCATGAAGCCACCAACATGGATATCCAAGCAGAAGACGGCACCACTGCCCTTATGGTGGCTGCGCGCAGTGCCGACGAAGTTGAACTGAATGCGATCACGGATCTCCTTCTCAGGCATACCAAGCCACCTCATCAATCTATCAACGCCATTGACAATGAAGGTAAGCTATCAATTCCCCTTAGTCGAAACTCAGATTTTGAAATGCACACCCAGTTGCAGCAACACAAAACATACATACTTGCCCATATGTATCATGAATAACAGGGCATGTTGCACCCAGTACAAGACTGAGCCCATTTTTTAGTGAGGAATTATTTTCAGAGTAGAGGTATGGTGGCTCTTACATTTTTTACTTCCGCTCTGTTCTCTCGTTTCGGTGGCCAGGTCGTACTGCCCTTCACTGGGCAGCAGCAGTTGACAACGAGAGTGCAACAAGACTTCTGCTCAAGTATGGAGCACAGAAGGATGCACAGAACCACAAGGTATGTCTATCGCGGCATATCATGGACTGCAATCATAGATTTGATAAGTGAATCAGTGCAAAAAAATAATACAACTTGCACATGCATATACATGCTTTCCTCCTGTCGGAAAACATAAACACATTCCTAACATCCTAACTCATCTCACTGCTGGGATTCATTGTGTGTGTGTGTGTGTGTGTGTGTGTCAGCTAGTTCGGTTGGTGGGTACACTTATGCCTGATTGTGTTGGGTCTGTTGCCAACGGGCTCGGCTACTTGAAGGTGTAATGTTGTACCTGCCACCTTTGTTGGTTCCAGGGTTCATATACTTTCTATTTGAAGTATACATACCTGTTAACCATGGACTGCTTCTGGCTAGATTAACTCTTGTGTAATCAATGGTGCTAGTGAAGCTAATATCAGATCCACTCTGATTTAGCCACCCACACTAGTAGCACGTATTACCTTCACTGGGGGCAGGGGTAACTGCAGTTGGATCCCAGGACGGATACCCTGATGCCGTCAATCCTTTTTCTGCACCTTGTCCTCACCCACTTACTGAGGTGTGGTAAGCCCATAAGTGGGATCATTTTCAAGTCCACCCAGAGTTTTGGGGATTTCAGGGGGTGTCGGCCGTTGGGCGGTTCAATAGCCAATTGAGTCATCTTTCCAAGATTCCTTTTGAGTCTCTCTCCCCTCTCCCGGGGAGACCCACGTGACCAGTTTTGGCAGTGTGCAACAAGTACAACAAGTACAAGTGTGTGTGTGTGTGTGCGCGTGCGTGTGTGTGCATGTGTTCCTGTCTACCTCACACAGGGTGAAACACCATTATACATGGCAGCGCAAGACGGCTCACCTGCAACGGCCAGAGTCCTGCTTGAGAACTTTGCTAGTCGCAACATCCTGGACAACATGGAACAGTCTCCGCTGGATATTGCACGCAAGTTGCATGCCCGTCAGGACATCATCCAATTGCTGGAGAACATGTCAATCGGGACGGTTGCTATGGCACATGCAAATGCCGCCGTCACCGCCGCTGCTATGCCCACGTCGGTTGCTGCAGCTGCGGAGTATGCCGCTCGCTTTGCACCGACCAGCAACTTCAGCATGATGATGGCGGCCAACGCGGCTGCGTCCGCTGCACAGGAAGCTGTCTCCTCCTGCCAGTCTCCATCGGAGCAGTTCTCCAAGCCAACACCACCGATACCGATGCAGCAACGGCCAGAGTTCAAACGTTCACTCTCGACTTCCGGCCAGGCAATGTCCGGAGGAATGGCGTTCCACTCGGCTAACATAGGCCATGCGTCAAGAGGCCAGCAGTCGGCCAAGGCCTTCCAGCCTCACCCTCCACCTCGTCAACACTCCCTGCTGCAGAAGCAGATACGCAATTCACCGCCACCCAATAGTATTGGTGCGAGTGCACCTGCATCGTCGCAGCTCAGGAGAAACGTGACGTCGTCTGCTGCGGCTGCCCATCTCACGGACTTGCAGCACCAAAAGCAGCAGCAGCAGCAGCACCAAAAGCAGCAGGTACTGTCACACTCGCACACCGCCGGTAGTAACACTCTGCACTACCTGCAAGCGAATAAGATATCCTGCCGGCGGTCACCTGACAGTCAGGACAGTAGCAAGAGCAGTCACGGTAGCAACATGCAGCAAAACTTGAGCCCCGCGCCCGGCAGTGAAGCTTCCCATGGCAAGCTGCTGCATCCACGGCATGCATCCGTGTCTGGGTCGTCCGGTACAGAATCTTTGTCGCCACCAGCCCAGCACTCACCACAGAGTTCCATCACAAGCCCGAGAAGCGCTGGCTCTGGGTCTGTGAGTCCTAAGTCGCACTCGGATGCGTCCAGTCAACAGCAGAGGAACCTTCAGGACCTTGCTCATCTCCGCCATGTGCAGCAGCAACGCCTGCAACAGAAACAGAAACAACAAGTTATGTTGGAATGCAGGCGACAGCAGCAGGAAGGCCTGATGGCCATGTGGCATCAACAGCAGCAGCAGCAACAGCAGCAACAACAGCAGCAGCAGCAACAACAACAACAGCAGCAGCAGCAGCAACAACACCACCAGCAGCAAGTTGCCTCCCTAGCTAACCGCTCTGGCATGCACGGTGACAAAATTGACCCATCCTTGCCGTTGTGCAGCGAGTCGAATGACCCCATGCGACTGGACAGTCAGTTGTATCAGCAACTTAGTACTGCGGCTGCTGGACTGCCTGCACTTGATGGCAACGTGGATGCTGGGCTTTTGCAGGAGTTGGAGAATAGTGACATGATGGCTAACTTTCTACCTGCGTACCCACAGGTCGGCATGGCCGCCGCGCAAGACCTGATGAAGATGGAGCAGCAGCTTCTGCTGCCCCTGCCCGAGGAAAGTGCATCTATTCCCGGTGCAACTGTTGCAGCAAGTTCACAGCCGTTTGCAGCTCCGTTCAGTGTCGCTGATTCGTATAATGTGGCAGCAGGTATGAATAGCATGATCATGCAGCAGCAACAACAGCAGCAGCAAACACACCACTCTGCGTCCGACTCCGGCACTAGCACCGACCACGGGCACCTGCTATCTAGCGATAGCTCGCATCACTCTCCCGCTGCATCTTCCTCGTCACCATGGCGATCCCTGTCGCCGCAGACAGCCTTCTCGGACAGTGGCGGGAGCAGCTCCACAAGCCCACCGCAGTCCGATGACAGCCTGAAAACGCACTGGACGCAGCCGGACTCCGCGCTCGGTCCCTCCGCTCGCCATAGAGCACCTGCAATTGGAGCAGAGGCATCTAAGCTGACTCACAACCAGCAAATGCAGCATGCAGCAGCACCACAGGTGCCCTTGCACAAGAATCATTAGTGAAATGAGAGAGACATAGAAATGTAGATGCTCTGACTGGCCCAATGTTGGCCTATATCTTACCTTGAAGATTTTGGTATGAATGAGAACTTCAACTGGTGCATGCAAACCCAAACCCGAGCCAACACACATCGGCCAAAAACAATCGGTACGACATTGTAGTGTTTTCCACTTTTCCCACTATTACGGATTCTTGACCGCAATGAACTCATTCTAAGTGTTTTGATGTAACAAACATGTCTTCATGTCATTGTTTTCACCATACAGTAGCTTCTTTTTCTGATCTATTCTGGCCTTAGAACACTCATATCAATTATTAACTGCTTCAGTACACACAGCTATCTCACCCATCATTTCTCACCCATCATTGTCAATATCTATGCTTAGTTTGTTTGCCCGTTGATTGGAAATGGCTATATTCCGCGCATGCTCCGCTCAGTGAAAGATTCCTTGTTCCTCATCGTTCAGCTACGCATATGACCGCGTCACTTTACGAGCGTACATTGTCCTCACCATGCACTGGTATACAGTGTTGCACTGCTTGCGCAATCAGTGTGTACCATGCTTGCGCAATCAGTGTACCATGCTTGATCCATCACATATTGCTCGATCGCTGAACTCCGCACAAAAATCGACACGAAGATGGGTCTGGTGAAAACTGGATAAGCAGTCCCTCGCGGTGGTCGGCTACTACTTTTTTTATGACACTATTGGCGATGCCGAAAAGTGCATATCGACTTAGAAATTTTCGACAGCAGCAGGGGCACGGAACGCGAAAAAATCTAAGTAATAGCCGACCACCGCAAGGGACTGCAAGCCCATACGATTAGGGTTAGGGTTATGGAGTAGGCGCAAGGCAGATCGTTGTATGGCTGCATGACGGTGAATATGTTGTACTACTATACTGTATTGTATAGTCCATGTCCCGACCGGTTTCGCTGTATATAGCTCATCAGGAGACGCTTTAGAAAGAGCCGTGGACTAAAAATGTATAATGTGGGCATATAGTGGGATTAGATTGGTTTTGGTTAAGCTGAGATGTAGGATATAGTAAGGACTTATACTTGGGCTGGCAATAGTGTGTAAGTATGGACTTACGCCAAAGCTGCCAATGTGATACACAGACTTAGACCTAAAGTTGACGAAAAAATCAAATCGTTATACAGAAATCGATACAGTCATAATTATACTGTCCTATTGAGCATTGAGAATGAGTGAGAATCGTTACCTTTGGTGCACGTAAACTAGTCAATTTTGGGAAATCGTTATATATGCGCCTCGTTAGAATAATGGCTTTTACAGTAGATAGTGTCTCCCGTGCTCCATGCTGCTGTTGAAAATTTCTAAGTCGATATGCACTTTTCGGCATCGCCAATTAGTGTCATATTTTGGCTGTTACTTAGGGGCCGTCCGTAAATATCGAACTTTTTTCACCAAACGAATTATTTTAGTTTAGACCCAACCCCTCCCACCCTCCCCCTCAGAACGTAAAGATTGTTGACATATACATGCATATACAACAAAGTCGCAAGTGTGTCACTGCTCCTATGGCCATGTACATGTATCGAACTTTTCTGAAATGAAATAGACCGATCCCCTTATTATACTGGGTTCGAGCACGGGGGCAACCTCTCTCGCGATCGAGCTAGTTTTTGAACGTGACAGCATCTTCGACAGTGTGTTTCAGGTTTGTTTTGGAATGTCTTCTGCTTAGTTCAAGTGGTTTGCGATGGCTTCGAGCGGTGCTGAACCTCCTGCTGGTAGGAGCAGAGTCTCCGAGAGAGACATGGACTCTGATGCAGCTGCAGGATTTTTTCAAGGCGCGGGAGGGAACGATCTCGGGCTACAAACAGGAGTTACTCCAGAGGTGAGTGTTTTTGTTGTTGAAATATTCGAATCGCGAATCGTGTTGTGAGATTTATTTTGTGCCTAGGCTACAGCAGACCGTATTTCTTTCTCCTTGAGATCGGTGCTGAAGATAATAGTAACCTTTTTCTGGTCTGCCTTTTCCTCTCCAGGGCCATCTTCTATGAAGGTAACCGTGGTGCTGCCTAGTCACCAAGTCGCGATCGCGATCAGCAGCCCTGAAGTGGAGAAATAGATTTTTCAACGATCTGGTTGGACATCAGCCACTAAAGTACTTCTGATTTGCTTGTAGTGACAACAGCAGCCATCCTTGGACACCTTGCAAAAACAGGAAAAGCCACTGGTGGAAGCGACTGCTATGAGGTGACGATAGCAGTGGTGATCGCTGTTTTGTCAAGTCGAAGAGCTAGCCAACCCAGAGGAAGCATTAAAAAAAACGATGAGCAGTGCGTGGTATTTGTTGAGCGTGAAGAGCTAGAGGAGGACAGTGCAAACACATGGAAGGAGTGGATGGTGTTTGAAGAACAGTGTGCTGTGTGCCGGCTGGTGGTGATGGTGGTTTTTGTCATGTATTCGTGCTGCTTCTTGTGCTGGAACACTTCTCGCCCAGGAAGGCAGATTGCGTGCTCCCTGGCCCTCCGTCGGCAGTGGGGCATTTGTTCCAGGAACATTACCCCAGCCCAGAGCCAGTGATGAGTCGTACCTTTGAAAAGTCGAAGCTTGCTGTTAATCGCAAGCGTAGCGCAGTGGATTGCTCCCTATTCGAAGCACGAGGGCCAAAGCTTGCCGCTGTCTGCAGCAAAGTGTGTGTGCGGTTCTTTCGAACCTATGAATATACCCCCCCCCCCCCCCTCTCTCTCTCTTAGGGAGACTGCATGTTCAGAGTGAACTATTTTCTAGTATATTTAATGTAAGACGAGCTTGTTTACGCCCAAGATGAAGATACAGTTTTTTTCTGTTTCTATACCTTCCTAATAAAATACATTGTGACAGAGCTTTCGGTCATACTCCGCTGTACTACATCCTCAACCCGCCACCACCATGCGCTCTTGGCCGAACTAATGCACGAAGCATAAACGCACCAGCACAGCAAGGACACTTCCGTTGACAGATATTGTTTACGCCTCTAGACAGCTGTTTAGTTTCTTCGAGCTCATCGTTAGAGGAGGATAGTAGCAGGATACTAATGATGATATAATATAAGATGATAGACGGTTTATGGTCCAATATTGATGATTGGAGATCTAAGAAAGCAATGACAGTGATTGCGAAATGGATAATATCATGATTATACTTCGAAGTAGTATGCCAGTCTGGTAATGCGTTGTACTGGTGGACAGTATTGGAATCATCACTGCATTCGATGCAAATATTGGTATACCTTTGGTTTCAGTATTGGAAAAAAAAGAGTAAGAGAACCTGGTTGATTTGGTTGCATCTGCGACTGGCTACCGGGTGTTGTGATCAGCAATCTTACCATGAGAGAAAATAAGAGCGCGAGGATCTGTTGGGTCTTGTGCACCCTAAGTGCATGGCAAAATGGAACTGTTTCATCCACAATGCAGAATGTCTTGCGGTACATGGCATTGATGACTGAACATCTCGCCAGCTCGCCCAAATGGGGATCATGCCCAAACGGAGGAACAAGACATCTTCCAGCTCAGCTGGCTATATACCGTGAAACGGATGATTAACTTGTGCCACGCATGCCAGCTTCTGTTCCATTCGGCCCAGGCTTAGACACATCAATGCCAATAGCAGCTGATCCTCCATTACATGCTCATTGGCGATTTACGGCCACCTCCAACTGTATCCGCCGTCCCTCAGCTTCCGTCTTCGCAGATCTGGCGCGGCGCAGTACACATTTTCTCGGCTAGGCTCAAAGAAGTCCCACAGAGCGGTCCAAACACCTGAAGGCAAACCAGTCAGAAACTGGAGCGGCTCAGAGTCTTTCTTTATGTTATTGTACGTAAGCTGTTTTTCGGCTTTCTTCACCCCAGTCCTCACATCGTCCAACTGCTCCACGAGACTCTGTACACGAGCTCTACTTGCTGCCAGCTCCTGATGCAGATGCTGCACTTCCATTACAGGACCAAACTGCACTAAGCCAGGTTCCTTTCCAACTCAAAGTACCGTTGCCTCCTAGCAAAATACTGGTTTGGGAGCATGGGGAGCTCGTGATGCAGACGCTGCACTTCCATGACCGAACTGCACTAGGCTCAGCAAATACTGTTTTGCGAGCATGGGGAGCAGGGCGTCCAGACTCCACTCTCTTGCGAAAAGCAAACCTGGTACCGTAGGACAGCTGTTTGGGTTCCTGGACTCATCCTGCCCTTGTAGAGCTGGGCAAAACGATTTCGATTTCGGGATCGAAATGATCGCTGCAACTCAAATATTCAAAGTGACCCTAAAACTACGTCCTTCCTCACGGGGCATAGCCTGGATCCGCTTGCTCCAGGCCGCTGTGGCTCCACACGAGGAAAGGAGTGAAATGACTTGTTTGCTTCGTCCTCCTGTTCTGACAGTGAGGAACGCAGCAATGATCCTGAGAAGGCATCCTGAAGTCGTAAAAAGGAAGACGTCTAAACAAAAACAAAACAGCTCAAATCAAAAGTCCTTGTGACATTTTTTGTAGACAGGCTTGCACTGCATGTAGATTTCGCGTGCTCTGCACTTCGCAAGCGAGAAGTCACGCACAGCCGAGGTGAGGTTGGTCGCGTGTGTGCAGCAGGATCCCACGCGACTGCGGAGTTGCCCCCTTGCTCGAACCCAGACAATAATAAGGGGATCGGTCTATTGGTCAACCCCCTCCCACCCCATAACGAAATTATTTCGTTTCGTGAAAAAAGTTCGATAATTATGGACGACCCCTTATCTTTCGGAATCTTCGGTAAGCCTGGCTACTGAATTATCATTCACTTATAATTTTTTCACAAAGATACTTTCGGCAACTTAGGTCCAAATCCGTGTACTAGTATCACATTGGCAGCTTTGGCGTAAGCCCATACTCACACACTATCGCCAGCCCAAGTATAAGTCCTTACTATATCCTACATCTCAGCCTAACCCAAACCAATCTAATCCCACTATATGCCCACATTATACATTTTTAGTCCACGGCTCTTTCTAAAGCGTCTCCTGATGAGCTATATACAGCGAAACCGGTCGGGACATGGACTATACAATACAGTATAGTAGTACAACATATTCACCGTCATGCAGCCATACAACGATCGGCTTTGTGCCTCCTCTATAACCCTAACCCTAATCGTAGGGGCTTGCAATCCCTTGCGGTGGCCGGCTACTACCTAGATTGTTGTCGCGTTTCGTGCCCCCTGCTGCTGTCGAAAATTTCTAAGTCGATATGCACTTTTCGGCATCGCCAATTAGTGTCATAATATCTTGGCTGTTACGTATCTTTCAGCATTTTCGGTAAGCCTGGCTACTAAATTATCTTATAAAAAAGGACCAAGGAACTACAAGTTACACTATAAATATAAGTTTCCGTGCATGGCACGGTAAGTGAAGTTAGCAACCCACCAACAATAACATTCCTAACATAATTTGCACGTACTTGCCATAGCGCATCACGTGCCCGTGCAGAACACG